CGGATTTGCAAACAATGACGAAGAGATTCACGTGTAGCTAAGATTCAGTGTTTGAATTTTGATTTTTAAGTTGAAGAAAAATAACTGAAATACATCGAACAACTGCAGTTTTACAACTTAGAAAATAATTCTATTATATGCTGCGGTGATATATAAGCAATGCAAAAGTTAATGGATGTGAAAAGGTCAGGGTCACATCTACATTGTCGTTGTCATAAATGGAAAAAAACAGAAGATTCATCATTGACGCCATTTGGTAATGACAGCTGTTCATACAAATAGCTAAACTTGTCGTTTTGGCATCCATTGCAGTATATGCCTGTTATTCAATCGTTTTTGTAGCATTCTACTGAATATATCTTAGAAAATTCCCTTAACTTTTCTTCATATTTAAATTTATGATATATTTGAGGTTTGACCGTTGAACTCAATTTCGCAAAACTGTAACCACTCTGGGATTTTACGACATTTTTTTTCTTATTGTACACATTTTCCTCTTTTCGTCGATATGTAATATAGGTGTGTGTTCTTCCGGTACATTAAAGTTTTAAAAAATGAACTCTCGTTGCAGTACTATTAGCATACTTCTTAGTTATTTCAACTTATCTAAAAAAAAAAATTATATAATTCTAATAGCATATTAGTTATCCTTACCAACAGCAAGCTTGTTACTGTTGTGGCACACATCATTTCAAGAGTTCATTCTGGTAAATCATACAGTATATTAATTGCTATATAACAGCTTACAAATTCTTTAAACCAAACTTACATAGTTTACTAACGGATTAAAATGAAACCGTATTTAAACATAGACATAGAAAAATACAATATAAATAATGCTCTTCTGTATATAGAATCAAACATGGCTAGGACAATACTTTAAATATGTACAGAAGCGAAGTTCTCTATCTAGTACAACTTTGTTTATGTTTTCTATTTATAATCAATCAATAATGTTATCGTGTACGGACTACTTTTTTTCTATTTATAATCAATCAATAAAGTATTTAAAATCTACTCATAATAAGGTCTTATAAAATACACCTCAAAGTATCGATCGGAATGTGTGTACTGTCTTACCTAATTTACATATAACTGTAACGGATGGCTACCAGTAATTTATGTAAACTAAGTGTATAATATGTAAAATGTTCCCTCGCCAAGGTTACTCTAACCTCGCTTGGTGTGTTTGTGAAGGCTCTGTTTATCAGACGTCTTATTGATTGCCCAAGCTCTGGCAGGCTTTCATTGGCTTTCTGTTGCTTCTCCTTCAGCTGTATCCTGTAAAGTTCTGTTTGGTTCGGGGGCAAAAAACGCTCTTAAGCTTTAACCAATGTACTATACTCCATCTTTTTATCCGTTGGTAGCTCACAAAAACTCTCTGGGTTTTGACTCTTAGCGCCGTTGCTAAATAATGACGTTAGTCCTGGTCATCCCACTTGTTAATTACCACACAGGCATGAAAATGACACTGGAAATCGGCCCATTCACTTGCTCCTTCATAGTTTTCAAACTTAAATATCACGCCGAATTTTCCCGTGGCTAAGTACGCCAGTAGAGTTGGGGTTGCTGAGTTGCCTGGTTTGACGTATTTCTTCCCTCAGTATCAGTGACACTACTGACATCGGCATTGCTTCTGTTTTGTCCTCTTCCTTTATGGTTTGTATCTTCAGCGTTGTCTGTTCTTCCGGCTACGCTCCTTTGTCGTAAGTCTTTATGGGGTAAAATTGCCCATATAAACGCGGCACTTCGGGTGTTGGTATGTTTCAATCTGCACCAACGCTGAAAAGCTGCGTATTGTTGCATGAAACCGCTATGTCGCGTCTGAATTATACCAATATACAATTTATCCTGTGGTTTTTAGACGAGTGAACAATTTCCAATCAATCTTAGCGTGATGTTTCGTTGACAAAATTGTTCATTCTCGTATACAAGTGATTTGAGAAAATATAGATTTATTTTCATTTTTTACGGTATAAAACATTCAGTATCAGTTTTCATATTCCATAACAATGTTACGCTAATTATTTCTTCACCCTCGTGGGAAAAGGATGTCACAAATCAATACAGTAGTCAATGACCGGAAATTTAAATACAGGTGTAATGACTGTTAATCCGAGTGTTTGTGTATTTGTTAGAGATAGAAAAAAAATAATTTAAATGCCCTTGTTATTCTTGTGACCGTAAATTTGGTTCGAGTCAGCAGAAATTTCGACTCATCAGGAGTCGAAGTACATATATTTATATAAAGCAAAGTCCGGGACCACGGGAAAATTTTGACTCATCCGAAATTTCGAGTCAAACGAGTTCGGGACAACGAATTTACAAATAAATAAATGACAATGTAAACTTAAAATATACGCTTTTATTAATTTTTGTATACTCATATGAAGCAGAATTCATTCATAACCTTCTCAAAGATAAATCGAAAAAACATCTTTTCATATATTCCATTTACCTTTATATTAAGGATACTACCTAAACAAGAAAGACTGCTTCATATCTTCTGCGATAGGAACGCGGCATTAAGAAGTTAGAGAAAAGACAGGTCGGTTCAGAGTCAGAATAATGTGTCCGGAAAGGACTACATGTTTTCTTACGACCTGTTACCTTGTGAAATAGCACGTTAAAAATCCGGCTCAGCGTGTAATATTCATATTACATGAACATATCCTCGTCTCTAATATGCTTTTAATTTTTTGCTAGACGTTATCTTGATTTTGAAAAAAAAAATTATAATACATTGATTCTGTAAGTTTATATAATACATTGTATTTCATCACTTAGGCATTTTGTAAAATCAATTTTATATATCTGATAACTCACAAAAATCATATCCACATCATTCACATCATTAATAAATAAAAAAAAAACACAAATCTGATATTTTGTTGTAAATGCTATAAACTGTACGGAACTATAAACAACTGTCTACAAGTGGGAGATTTACCTAGTTTTGCAGTCTCTGTTGTAAAATTTTAACTTTCGTCACCTGTGAAATTTTAGGATTGTACCAGTTCATATCGCACATTACTATTCTTTTTATAATCATATCTATGCAGTCCCTTTTGTAAATACTTAAGCTACGTCATTTTTGAAATTTTAGAACTATACAAGCGTTGTTCGGTTTTTAATTGTATAACTGTAAAGATTGTTATGGTTTAATCAGAATAGATTTGTACATAAAATTGAGAATGGAAATGGGGAATGTGTCAAAGAGACAACAACCCGACCACAGAACAGACAACAGCAGAAGGCCACCAACAGGTCTTCAATGCAGCGAGAAATTCCCGCACCCGGAGGCGTCCTTCAGCTGGCCCCTAAACAAATATATATACTAGTTCAGTGATAATGAACGCCATACTAAACTCCAAATTGTACACAAGAAACTAAAATTAAAAATAATACAAGACTAACAAAGGCTAGAGGCTCCTGACTTGGGACAGGCGCAAAAATGCGGCGGGGTTAAACATGTTTATGAGATCTCAACCCTCCCCCTATACCTCTAGCCAATGTAGAAAAGTAAACGCATAACAATACGCACATTAAAATTCAGTTCAAGAGAAGTCCGAGTCTGATGTCAGAAGATGTAACCAAAGAAAATAAACAAAATGACAATAATACATAAATAACAACAGACTACTAGCAGTTAACTGACATGCCAGCTCCAGACTTCAATTAAACTGATTGAAAGATTATGTCTTCATCATATGAATATCAGGCACAATCCTTCCCGTTAGGGGTTTAGTATCATACCATCATAACATATATGAGAAGAACATAACCCGTGTCATGCCAACAACTGGTTTTTAAATAAATGTGTTTAGTGCAGATGCAAAGACCCTATAAGTGAATCAATATCAACGCCAAAATATGCAATCTTTAATGACCTGACAACAGTATCGTAACTATATCCCTTCTTAATAAGTCTATTTAAAGGTTTTGTTAGTTTCAGAGGTGAATGTATGATTCATTGTACATCATCATAAGCATACTGATGAAGGATATCTGTTATCCGAAATATTTATAGATATTTATATTTAATGTTTCCTTGATTAAAATTGGTTTTGTTTTGTACACTTTTTAGGCGTATATATAATTGATTTATTGTTTACATGTATCGGCACTCGTACCGATCCAGGTCCCTCGTAAGTTGGATCGTTGACTAATATCTATACGTTTTATATATGTTATATCTAAACACAACTTTAATTAACTTTCATATACATCAGGGATATATCTGCATATGAAAATAAGGATATTAGGTATGATTTCAATGAGACAACTATCTACTAAAAAATTGTAAAACACGAAATAACAAGCCACGTATTGATTACACGCTGATGCATATTCCGTCGTTGATAGGAAAATAAGCAACAAAGTGATTCCATGCATCTTGTAGCTATTTTGAATCTTATGTTCTGTCAAAGTATTTCGTCGAACACGACACAATTGATTATTTGACTGATTGTTAGTAGTCCCCAAATGATAGACTGGGGCATAATAAGATGGTGATCGCTCTCTGCACGTTAAAAAGCCATGGCAACAACTGTTTTTCATTGCCCATTTCCACAGGACGTTAAGCAAAAAAGCATCATTCAACAATATTTTGAGGAGACCAGAAGTGACCATTGTGTTAAAAGATTCTGATTTCCAAATGGAAGTTGACATTCTCATACATCATGAACATATAAACCGGTTGTCAGGCTTTGCAGTTCCAAAGTATTTTATTACTTGTTAATTTGTTCTGTTAATTCTACAAACATTTGCCGCTGAACATTGAGATAAGACAACGACATTGTAAGCTTTTGCTTTTCTCTTTACTTTAATGTAATCACCTAACGCCATTTACACCATTTGTTTCATTTTAGTAGAACCTGTTTTATCGACACACATTTTGCATCAATATGGATGTCTTCATCATGGACAGTCCCTAATTTGTAAATAAACATTTTTGGCAACAACCATGTACCTGAAGTTTCCATAACTCTTTTTTTCAGATTTAGATTGTTAGTTGGATTGATATGTGGAGCTTTTTTTATTCAAATCTTATTATTTGAACAGTTCAATTCGAATTTGACAGCGGATGTTCCTAATACTAATATAGAGAAAATAATATTTGATATTCAACTTAATGGAAGTTCTAATGTCATTCCTTTGAATGAATTCGATGAGAAATATGTTTACAGAATCAACCCTGCCAAGTCAATTTGTGAAACGTTTAATTGTGACTCCCTCCAAATTATATTTATTGTGAAATCACATGTGTTAAACTTTGGTCAAAGAGTAGCTATACGTCGAACTTGGGGAGGCAAGACAATTCTTCGATCAAAAACCGTATTTATTGTTGGATACCTTGACGGCATCGATCATTTGATACAACTGGAGTCAAATAATTATAAAGATATTGTACAGCTTAACCTACCAGATCAGTATGAAAATTTAGTTTATAAAACTATTTATTCTATCTTATGGTTGTTACATGTAGATGTAGAAGTGGAATTCATCCATTTTGTTGATGACGACCGTTTAGTGAATCCAATGAACATTTACGATTTCGCGAAACACAACATTTTTTCTGCGGATTTAGTAATGATAGGGTATAAATTGGACCTGTCAAAACCAAACAGGAATAAGAATTCCAAAACTTACATTTCACCTGATGACTATCAATTTACCTATTACCCACCATATATAATTGGAGGAACTATCTTGACAAATATCAAAACTGTACGAATACTAGCAATTGCAGTAGCATTCATTAAGGTTATTCCAATAGAAGATGTATATATAGGGATAGTAGCAATGATGGCCAATATCAAACTGAAACATCATTTCAGGTTTTTACCTTACAAGGAGTCGCCTTCTAATTTACGGAACACAGCATCATCTCCTGGTTATGCATCGACGTACATTCTACTACGAGACTGGAATTTAGTAATGGCAACGGACAATATAATCAATAAGTAAAATAATAAATCAGCTGTGATGTTTCTAGAGTGGTTCATATTTTTAAACACAAACCAAAAGTCAAAGAATGTACTTTTGAATACAAGCTTAATATACTTTGATATATTTAAAGGATATGCTTAGATACCGCAGGCTAGTAAAACGAATCAATCTTAGAAGTTCAAATGCATGAACATTGCAAACTTGTATCAGCATAAAAGACGCACACATTGAACAAATTTTCCTTGCACGCTTACGAATTGACTTTAATCTCCTGTATTTTCTACATACATTGTTGAAATTTTGTATATTCGCTGTTTTTTTATGAGGTGATATAAATACAAGTTATCATTTTACATAGAGTAATCATTGTTTTTAGACAAAATGAGAAACAATTATTCTGTATAAGATTAATTCAAATTGTTGAAACAAAATTAATCAGCGGTAAAAATATTTTATGAAACAAGTGAAAACTTTTCATACATTGTAACAATAAACCACTTTCTAGTTATGTCCTTGACCGGAAAAGTTCATTAATTATGCGCGCCTTTATGACATCATTTACAAGATAGAGGGGACCGCCTGTATTCCTGCAATATTATAGTTTATCAAGCGTCTTCGTGATCGTCATTTTGCAGGATAAACTAGAAATAATGTTTGTTCCGTAGGTACTTAATCACAATCCCCTAATCACAGCAGTACTGATTATTAATTATAAGAATTTAATTTGCCGAAAAATTTGTCCAATATAGCATCATATTCTTTTTAACCGTTCGCTCAACATTGAAAGGAAGTGACGATGCCCCTAAATGCACGAATGATGTTCACGAAAAACAAAGTTTTTGACGGAAATGCAACGAACTCAAAGGTCTATTCATTCGCTTTTTGCTTATTGGTCTCCAAATGGAAATACAGTAACATTTACTGGACATGTTATTGGACAGTGATTGCTAACGAGTATATATAGAGTCATGAGTTTTGTTTCACCTTAAAGCTGAGCCGTTGGGCGTGGTTATACCTAAACGCATTAAAAATAGAATCTGTCACTTTAATGTGATCGACCGATAATATTGGATACTATGACCTGCAAATATCTTGCGAAGATGATATTGTTTGACGGTATGAAAGTCATATAATGCATATTTTAAGGGTTTCTTTGTCGTATAACACACCTTGGGATGTCCGGATTACCCCAAAAAAAGATCGTCCTACGGCCGTTCTTTAATTTTATCAATCTTCACACCCCTAGATATGTTCTACGACAAAAACAACTTAAAATATGCATTATCTACAACATAATTTTAGATGTCATAAATTTTTAGACAGGTTCCAATAAGCAATGATACTTTTTGCTGGATCTTATAACATTATACTGTTTAATCTCAAATAACATGATTTAATTCAATGAATGAAATGTTGTTTAAATAAAAATAAAAATGAAGCATCCCTTCCCTTTATCGACCTAAATAATGAAAATGTTAATTCCAATGAAAAGATTAATATACTTGCTATGTTTTAAAACACAATAATCGTGTTTACTTTGTAGTCACAAAAATGACAAAATAATTATTAAAAGATCAAAATGAATTAGACTAAAATACGTAGTGGATCTAAGGAATCATATGGAGGAAGAGATTTCTTGTGATTCTCACGAATACTAATGAGCAATGATGCGTCTCCATATTGATGACGCTGTACGCTTATTTTCGTTGTTCGTCAATCGCTCGAGTATTTCGCTCTTTTCATTGATAAACTATGTAGAATAAGATACATACTTATAATGTTTTCATTGATAAATCATATATCACATTATTTTGCAAGCCATAACTGGTGTTTTATGAAAATCCTTTTTATCGATCTCACTACGGAGGCATGGCTTATTTTTTTTTTTTTTTTTTGGAAAACTGATTCAAAAGAAAGCTGGCAACGCATATGTTTTGAACGGACGGATTATTTTGGTTGCTTGAGTCGAAAATTGGCACATTTACTTAAGGATTTCAACATACAAGAAGAATCGTACGACCTTAATTGACTGAAATGTTGATATGATTGTTATTCATTAGGATAAGACACCTTTTATTTTCGGCTAGTCTGTGCATCCGTCCAAGACGGTTCTACAAAAAGGTCTTGACTAGTACTTGGTAGGAGTGTTTGCCATCATACATGATCATGTGTTGTTGACTATATTGTACCGTCCTTTTGATTCAACAATTTTCAAATATTTGTATGGAAGTTATGGGTCTTTCAACAAGGAGTAAAACCCTTACCATGAACAATGTATAATTTATTAGCTTAAGAGGCCCAGGATTACAAAATGTGAATACAAATGTATTCTTTTTAGACAATCTTAATACTGACATGATTTATGCTACAACAATAAATTAAAATTTAATAATGACAGACAGCAACAAAAGGAACAACAGCAGTACAGGTGCCTGGCTTGAGACATTTGCATAAAGAATGTGACATGGTAAACATGTTTGTGAGTGTTTTATTGTGGCATTAAGAAAGGACAGTAAGTATCATGTACATATGGAGGAGAATTTTGAAAACGAATATTCTGGCCTAGTGAGAACGGGAAAAACACAATATGCAGGTAATAAAGTGAAAATAAGTTTTCATACAGCAAAGCGCAGAAATAATAAGTCAGCATAGCAACAGATCCAAACACAATCCTCATATCCCACCCCACCCTTGAATATCCAATTCTTTTCCAGTTTGATTTAAAGTGGTTCTCTACGCTTTTCAATTCTTCTAATTGAACATATGTAATAATTCTTGTCCAAACTTATTGTGTTACTAAATATATTTCAGAACTTCTTGGGTTTTTTTATTCTTCTGTAAAATTATGTATACCATTGGCATTTACAGTAAACTATACAAACAAGGATTTATATAGCATGTATAGTAAGAGATCAAATATTTGCTACAGTCTGACATGAATATAAAAGGAAAGTAAATGGTTCATAAAATAATCAAGGACAAAACATATACACATATACCATATATACAGACATCGGATCACCAAATTATACACTATAAGCCTACTCTTAATATTTTATTCGACCTAACTTGCATAGAGATCGGTAGTACAAGTTATATTTATGCTGAAGTAGAAAGGTGGAACTGCACTTATTTCGACAATTATGTAGCCGTGTTTGGGTAAATTCAACATTCTACATATAATTGAAACCTGGAGAGGAGCATCAAACACCGACAACTTGTTTTATTATTTCTTGTCACTACACAAATATTTACTATGCACGTAAAAGGCCTATTGTATCATCAATTGAACATTTGAAAATAAACTTGCAATCTATTAACAAATACTAAAAATCATATACAAACATTAAAAAAACTTATTTTTTTCTTTCTTTCTTCCAATGATATTTATCATATTTTCACAGGTGAATTACAATGGGAAAGTCGAGATATTGAAATATAAAACAAAATTAACTACTGTAACAATGTATGCATCAAACACAACAATCAGGAAATATTTACATAAATTGAAGTTAAATTTGTCCAATTTTTATTCTTCGATACAATGAGGACACAGAAATGTGTCACCTCGCCTGACAACTCGTACAGCGGTGCAATAAATAAGGTGAACCCAGTGTCCACATTTGTCATATTGAACCCACTTAAAAAATATTACAGATCATGCTGATTGTTTTATGACATCTAGGTACACTTTTCTGCATGCACAGCATGGCTCCTCTTCATCATCACTGGATTCAGTGCCACTGCATGGAATCAATTCTAATGTGAGATAGTTTTGATTCTTTGGAGGAAATAGCTGGTGTTTTGTTTATATTTGAGGTAGAATTTGTCAGTGGTATTTTTGTTTTTCTATTTTGTGTTTTTTCGCTTTATTAGCAACAGTTTCTCTCTTTTGTGGACCCTTTCCGTTCTTTGTCTTAGAGTTTTCATATTCCTAAATAGGAGTCTCTGTTTTCTCCTTTGTAATTGCCTGTCCCAAAACAATGCTAATTTTCTTGGTTTCTTTTGATTTTGCCATGCTTTAGTGGTTTTTAATGTTTTTAACTTCTCTTCGAAGAAAGTAGCTTCTATTTTGCGTTCGTGTGAATTAGTTTCTGATTCGGTACGAATAATGTCCTTGTTATAAATCCAGTAACTTCATCAGTTGCATAAGGCTCATTTGTCATTCAACCAAACTCAACAAAACATGAGTGGCATGCATATGACCATCAGGTAAAAGTAAAATTGGATTTGCTGCTGAATTCCTTGGTACGTATTTGAGAAAATGATTTTCCAAGTAAGCTCCGAAAATTAATATTAGTATTGCTCCATCCTGAGATTGACATAGTTCCTGATACACCTGGTTTTTGCTTCATCTAGTAAGCTGTCATACCATCTCTTACCAGCAAAGACCAAGCATGGAGAAATAGTTACTCCAGCGGCACTACCACATCCTATGATGGTAGTAGTTTCAGAATTCACACGAGTTACCCTCGGAGGTCGATACCAATTTACACTAGCTACTGGTTGCAGAATGTGGTTTGGAGAAATACCTTTCTTGTCTACATTAAAAATATGATGGGGAGCATCTTCCAGCTTGTATTTATGTATTATTTCTTTCAACTCAGTGAAGTATTTAGAAACACCAACAGTCGATGCAGACTTGGCTTAGCTATTTCAAGGCTTCTAGGACGATAAACTGGATTGCCGCAACGTACATAAATATTGTAGTGGAGAACATTGACACCGTTAATCATCTAATTACCATTCCAGTAGGTATAACTAGCCAATTTACCTTTTCATTACAGACGAAGGTTTTTCAAGTTGCAGCAGATACACTTGCAATAAAAGTTACCCGATTTACTGGTTATGACAACGGCATATATTTTCAATATAAAGCATAAAAATTGTTAGTGTTAACTAATCTAGCCAATTTTGTTGTAGTACAATTCATCCTCGTGATTCTTTAGTATATGCGTAACAAGACTACTGATTTTAGCACCAGTTCAGTATTTTTATTAAAACATGTAAAAGGAAGAAATGTCACGTTTGATTAAAAGACGACAAAATCTTTTAGTCGTTGTGTAAAGCTGTCATTTATTGCTATGGGATTCCTTTGAAATACTAAATTTCCTGATTTATGATAACGGCAAACATTGTTCAATATAGTACAAATGTTGCCAGTGTTGATTGCAATGAGCAAACATTTTTGATGAACAAACTATCTGGATATATCAAGTCTTCCGGAATTTGATGCCAGTTCTCTATGTTGAATAAAATGGAGAAATGTTGGCAATTTTAATAAAACCCAAGATTAAACCTCAGTCAATATAAAAAGAGGAGATGTGGCATATGATCGCCAATGAGACAATTATCCACCAGAGTTCAAATAAAGTGGATGTAAGCAATTATCGGCAACCGTCCGACCTTCAACAATTAAAAAAATCAAGCCATATAGTCGGCTATAAAAGGCCCCGACACGAAGAATGTGAAACAGGTCTCTATGACTTATTGTGTTTGAGTTATTTCAACATAT